ACTTATTTCTAATTTTATCTGACTGATTTAATTTTATTTATAGTTTTTATTGTCCTGCAGGCTCTGAGAGGAAATTAATTTGAAGCTGAGTTTTTGATAAAAATCATTAGATTACTCTAAATGTCTGTAAACCTGCAAAATGAGTAAAATCTGTGTCAGTTCCAGACATTGTGTTCAGGTGAGCAGCTGTCAGTCAGCACCTGTCTGAACCAATCACTGATCATCTGACTGATTTAACTACATCTTAACATTCATGAGGTACTTTACATTGACTGTTTTTGGTTGAGTGTGGGCGTGTAGAGGGTAGAACCTGAGGAGGATCTTATGGTTGAGTGTGGGCGTGTAGAGGGTAGAACCTGAGGAGGACCTTGGTCCAAACTCTGAGGTGAAGCTGTGATCTACTGTATAAAGATGCAGAAACATGCGTACACATGGTTTGATAAATCTGAAGTGTTTTTTTGGCGTACGCCATTTTCGCCTTTTTGGCCGTACGTTCATTTTTAGTATGGTTTCCACGCAATCCTTTATAAATCTGAGCCCAGTTTTGGCACTACTAATAAACAATCTGTGGACCCTGGCAGCTGTAGAGTTTCTGTGAGTTCTGGGTAAGTTTGGGATGGTTGCTTTCTTTAAAATATTAACAGCTTTTGTGAAAGTCCACCACACTGATGTCTTGCCAAGGTGGGAGGGGCTGTGTGTTCATTTGACATTGTGCTGAAAACATGCTTGGGTAAACTGTCCCACCCCTTCACACACTTTCAAGAAGCCTGGGAAAATCTTCTAACTTGGTACCATGGGTGGATCATCTGACAGAATGAGGGCCTAACCTTGACACATGTGCACCTCCATGTCTGTTCAACAGGAAGTCACAGAGTTGAGTGGGTGAGTAGGTGTGTAAAGGTGGAGCGGTCACTTCTCTATAAGCACAGCTTCCTCTCTGCTTCTATGATGCCAACTTTGGTTGTGTAGGCACACATTGGTGTAAGACTTGATTTGATTGGTTCACATGTGAAGAAGCAGAGGTGGGATCATCTTTGTGACATGAGCTCAAATATAAAACATCAGTGAAACACATGAACATCCAGGTTACTGTCAAGATGCATGTTTACAAGAACATAGCATCTCTGTGCCCATTAGTGGTCATAATGATTCGGCTGATGTGAGTTTATTTTTAAATATGTAAATAGAAAAAACAGTGCAGTGAGATCACACTGGTTGATTAAACAATGGTTAGATGTGCTGTGTGTCAGAAAATTAACAGATAGAAACTAAAGAAAAACAGGAATAAAGGGTTTCTGAGAATCATCTGTTTATATTTCTAATAAACTAAACATTTAATTAATAAGCATTAAGTTTTTCTTTTCAGACTGAAACTTCATCATAGTTTAAACCATTAAATAAAGACCTGTCACTTTATTAATGTTTTATTTTTTCTCAGATGAATGTTTGACATGACTTTATTAAAAATGCATCAGTTTAGCAGAATTTACAGTCAGCTGCTGTGTTGAGATCTGAGGTCAGAGCTACTGTCCACAATCATTGATCCACCATTATTGATCCATCGCCACACTTTTAATAAACTGTTTGACAAACGGTTGTCTCTCTACTCAATTATCAGTGATTTCAGGTATTTTTTATTTACAATACATTTTTACATTACATTTTAAATTCAACAGTTTTGAATGTTTCAACTTAACAGGCAATTAAATACAGTTTTAACTTGTGTCACATTGTCAACAAATTTTCTGATCATGTTAGGGTTGGTTAGAACAGCTGTTTCCACTGTAGAGAACCATGCTCTACACTTCTCAAAACTTAAAGTTATGAGGAAACCACCAGTTCTTTGTAGGGAGTAAATACCTTTCTGTGTAAAGGTGAGAAACATAACTCAACGTACTCGGTAGTTAAAGTTTTCTAAAATAAATGGTTTTTATTTACAGAATAAAATTAACTACTTCTGTACAAATTAATGTGAATAATCAGAACTTTGAGTTAACACATCAAGAATCACTTACACGTCCGTAATGATTAACGTAAATATGACAAGTCAGGAAGAACAGGAAACTTTAGGTTTGAGATCTTGATAAAGCAGATGTTTACAGGCACAGAACTTAAATGAAAAGGTTTTAAGGTTAAGAAAAGTAAGAAAGGAGGAGGATTAGTTCTAAGAATTATCTTATAAAAGTGTGAAAAACCAGAACAACACAGGATATCTGCAGATGCTTCAGCCCAACTCCAATACCTTTGTCAAAACATTCAACTTTACCTTTTGGTGTTTTGACCGCCAGGTTTAAGGGTGTGGGAAGACTTCACCTGGATGAGTTAAAGCCTGGTCAGGACTGCCTCTCTCCTTCAGTAAAACCTCCAAGTTTTGCTCCACTGCATCTTCTGGAATCTGCCTCGGTCCATCAGAGATAGTCAAGTTCATCCTAGGTTTTTCTTTCAAAAATAAAAGCTTCTCATCAGAAATTTCATAATAATGGAGCTTCAACGCTGTTATTTCCAGGTCAAGACTGAAGGTGTGTTGACCCTGGACAAAGATTTGCTCGTTGGCTCATGAGCAAGTCTCATTGTCAAAATGCTGAATTCTTCTGTAAAAGGAAAACAGCTCAGAGACAAAAAATTATGTTGTTTCATCTCATCTTTTCCTCACTGTCCTCTGTCGAGGCTCAGTCTTAGTTTCTAAAGAAACCAGGAATATGACCTCGACTTTGGTTAGTCAGGAGGAAGAATTAACGCTCAGTCTGCACCTGGTTCAGGAGAACAAGTTCAACTTTCACAGACTTTATTCTGAATGAAAAATTAATTAAAGTTCAATGAAATATAAGAATCATTTAAACTGAAATAAACCTTTAAATATTTGTCTATGATTCAAATACAAATATTTTTATGTATGTATATTTCATAATAAAACACAGTGAAGTCATAATCNTAGTGAAGACTTTGTCATTTTCAGAAATTCCCACCATGCTGTCAGAGATGAGCTGATATTAATGCATTTAAAGCAAGCATGTCGTTTTATGTTTGCGCTTATAAATGGAAGATCTGAAATCCTAATGTTATCGCATATAGTTTGTTCTATGTCCAGCCAAGTCTCGTCTAGTTAGTTTAGTTCTAAGATTTAAGTTATAAATATGTGAAAAACCAGAACAAACACTGGATATCTGCCGATGCTTCAGCCCAATCCCGGCACGCTTGTCAAAACATTCAGCTTTACCTTTTGGGGTCTCGACCGCCAGGTTAAGCTTGTGGGAAAACTTCACCTAGGTGGGTTAGATAGCCCAGTCTCCTTCAGTAAAATCTCCAAGTTTTGCTCCACAGCACCTTCTGGAATCTGCCTCGGTCCATCAGAGATAGTCAAGTTCATCTTAGGTTTTTCTCTCAAAAATAAAAACGTCTCTTCAGAAGTTTTAAAATAATGGAGCTTCAGGGAGACGGCAAAACTGTTGTCGGCACTTCTCTTTTCTTTTTCCTTTCTGTCGAGGCTCCGTCAGTGTTAGATTTTCTAAAGAGAAGAAGCTGGAGACAGTGACCTCGACTTGTTAGTTAGGAGGAATGTAAAGTTTAGACTAGAGTAGCTGAATAACAACTATACACCTGGTTCAGAAAAACAAGTTCAACTTTGAACCATTTAACACTGAATGAAAATGGACTACAGTTCACTGGAACATAAGAGAATAATTTAAACTCAAATAAACCTTAAAATATTTGTCTATGATTCAAATACAAATATTTTCATGTATGTATATTTTATAATAAAACACAGTGAAGTCATAATTACAATGATCAATTTAGTTAAATTGAAAAATAAATCAGAAAAACACTAATCACTTTTACTGTAAAACCAATAGTTGATTAAACAAAGATTTGTGTAAAACAAATAAAGAAATAATGAGGCAATTTTCTTTTTGTGTTTTCTTTTTCTTAATTATAATGTAAAAGATTAATTTTTACTCTTCATTATGTAACTTTGATTTATTAAATGATAATAACTTGTAGTTAAAAATAAAGTATAAATCAAAAAATAGATGATCATTTTGTTTATTAAAGAAAATAAAATGTCCCTTTTGAGAAAGGTCTTTTTTAACCAGAGTCAAAGACAAGTGGAAATGTTGATTTCCCCTCTGGGGACCCTCACACCACTCTTCAGTCATTCAGCATCTCACTAATGCCATCATAACCATGGAAACCACACTTCCTGCCAGCAACCCTACAGCCAAAGTTCAGTGCATCCTGCAGACTTCCTCCTATAAACAAATCAAATGTACACAAGTGTTAGTTAAACATTCCTGTATTTTTCACTCTTAAAACAGAGACAAACATTAACTCTGATCATGAGCCCAAATACCAGAAACATGATGATGAAAAATGAAGTCAAA